TTTGCCATTACAAAATGATTTGAAAACACTTCGCTCCTTCCTGGAGGCCTGGCTGGAGCTCGGGGCGGCGCAGGGAGGGCAGCCCCTCTCCCCTTGGCAGAGGCTCCTGGGCAGCACGGCGGGGGACAGATCTCTGACTGTCCCCTTCGGCGGGAGCTGCCTTTCAGCTGCGGCTCTGCTGTTACAGCTCCCGTGAAACTGCCGCCATGCCTGTGCCTGGCCACAGGCCCCTTGGTCCAGCCACAGTCCCCAACCTGCGACTGACTTCTCAGGCCTCCCTGGGCCTCACCCTGGCCCTGGCCCAGTCCCGGCTCCCCTGTGGACATGTCCATGGGCTGGGCTGGTGGTCCTTGGCGGCCACCCCAGTCCTGCCCCACTGGCCTCGCTGTGGGGCTGGGCCCTGCCCCGCTGGCAGCCCCCATGCAGGGCTGCCTTTCTCACTGGAGTGGCAGGCTCACCTATGGCTTGTTTTCTGCAAAGCATCTTCATGAGGGAGTTCATGTCCCATGGCTGGTGAAGCAGCAAGGACTGAGAGGGTGGTGCTCTCATTCTGCTTGTGTGTATTGATTTTCTGGTTTTAATTTTGGCTCCTGTCATTGCCAGCCTTGAAATTTCAACAGTTACAGTGCTGGGCTTGGGGGATTTGAACAAACTTGTTTTCCACAGGGAGGGGAAAGAAAAAAAAAAAAAAAGCATAGATGAATGTTTCTAGCAATGAGGAGCCCTTTAGGAGGCTGTTAATGAACAGACAAGAGTTCATAATTCTGTCATCAGAAAAGATGTCAGCTGTGGCATAAAGCCTGTACTAGCCATGAGTGAAAGCAAAAGCTCCAATTAAATATGTAAAAAAATGGTTCAATATGACAAAAGCTGTGATATGTAGGAGACTTCTCGATGTCAGGAAGAAATCTTTGCCTGTTTTTGTCAAGGCCGATGACAGCATTTTGGAAGTATTTCAGAAAAAACCCATCCTAACAAAGGAAGGGGCTGCCGCTAGATAGGAAGAGTATAAACAATCAGCATGAAATAAAAGATGCTGTATGATGGGTTTGTATTTGGAAAGAAATAGAGTGATGTACTCAACAACCTTGTAGGAAATTGAGTCATATGAAAATGTTTTTCAGTTTTTAATGGGGAACAGGTTTGGGTTAAGTAACTTTCCAAAAGCAGTAGATTTCAGTAAGGTGTTCGATGCAATGATGCTGGTCATCCTGATTGAAAGTACTGACACTGTTCCCCATCAAAAGAGCACAGTCTAATGGATTTTGAGTGGGGTAACTGGAAATTGTCAGTGGAGATGTTTAATGAATTGACACGTGTGTCGTGTTCTGCAAGAACGAGTTCTCATCCTTTATGCTATTATGTATTTTTTATTAATGATCTAGGAGATATGTGAAGACAATCACAGTCATTTTTAAAGAAAAGCCAAATATTGGTTTGATAGTAAATACAGTAATACAGAATGCTTTATAAACTATATTCATCAAAACAAGGTACACCTTTTTAATAACTGTCTGGAAAGTCATCATTCTAAAAGCAAAGAATGTGGGTCATAGCTAGAAAATTGAAGGCTGCAACTTTGAAAAAAACATTCTGGAGACACAGCAGACAGGGAACTCCAGAGATGTTACAGCAGAAAGTTGTACAGTGTAAGTCATGGACATATTGAGGGGTAAAAGGCAGGAGATTATGTGTGTGTATGTCTTTGTTTACTGGAGCACAATGTTAGGATTTGTGTCAAATTAACTTTCAAAAAATGTTTGAAGGTTGCTGAGGATTTAGAGAAGACAGTGAAAAAAATCTTCGGAAAAGGAGATTTATGGAGCTGAGTCTGTTTACCTGATCAAAAAGAAAATTAAGTTATCTGATCAGTGTTTAACTTTACACAGAAAAGAGTGTGGACATTAATCTTGAGCTGAGAAAGATACAACGGGACCGAGACTTCAAAGAAAGAAATGCAGAACACATTTTTAACAGTTTTTAACAGTTCAGCTGATTAACCACTAGAACAAACAGCTAAGGAGTTGATGAATTCTCCATTTCTTGATGTCTCTGTGATCAAGATTGGATACCTTTCTTGGCGTGTATGAGTTAAATGCAGTTTACTGGTCTCAATATGAGTAATAAGGTTGGTGGAGGTTACTAACATAGGCTAAATTTAAGGAGATAATAACACCTAATTTTAAAAACACATCTCCCCTCCAGTTAGGAGTCCAAGTTAGCTTTAAGAAAATACAATTTACAGCTGTTTATCCTAGTAGGTGTATTTAAAAGAATGTGATTCATCATTGTGTGATCAGGAATCACAACATTCCTTTCTTGTAGGTTATTTCTTGGTACATTTCAAGGGCAGCTGAAAATTTTATTTTATCCATCTTTATTTGTAAACTTTGATGTGAAGCTGGATGCACGTATAGGCTCATGGCTTCTAGAGCTCTTACTGCTGACTTATTGACCTGGTTTGTGAAACTTGCTAAATAGATGATTACACATATGCCACAGGAATCTGAAAACAAAGCCCAGCCCACAGAAAAGTAGAATTCAATATTCAGTACCGTAAATGACGTTGTAAGGGACAAAAATTTCCCTATATGGGATTATAGCGACAAAAATGCCCCTGTATGACTTAATTGATCTACATATATCTAGTTTTTCTGCGGACTTCTTCAACATCAGAAGCTCAACAACAAACATGGACATTTCTTCCAGTAAGACCAAAATTTGGACCTGCAGTTCCCTCCATAAACAACAGAGAGAGAGAGAGAGAGACTTGCCCCCTACGGGAGTTCAGTATTAGATTCTGTGAATTGCCTTGAAGGACAGTTTCTTTCCATTCAGAGTCAGGCGCTAAGCTAATTTTAATGTAGTGAGCCCTATCAGAATACCTTTGTTTCTCCATTCTGTTGTCTATAGTATTCAAGAGATCAGACTAGATCGAAGAATATTTGGCCTTTAAATCTATAAATTCTTAGAATTATTTGTGCTTCGGTAAAGAGAAAAGTTGATAGTCATGTAATCTTGTACAAATGAGTGATTGAGAATTGGTAGTTTACATAACAAAACAGGAATGAGCAAATAAACAATGCATTACTGCCTCAGGGCAAGAAGAGTCTGATTTGTGAAATAGGCACTTAAGAAAATGTACTGTACCAAGCATTTGAGGATGTTTTGCTTGCTTACTTCATAACAACAGCATGACCTCCATTGTGCAAGATACTGCAAATGCAATTGGCACCTTGCAAAAAACAATGCACTCCTATGATATTTGACTTGTATGCTAACTTTCTCTAGCAAAACAAACATCCTTTATCAAGCTTTAGGGGAGCGATGAGTAACTGCTAAAGTTATCTGTATAATTTAGGGAAAATTCTGACACGGAAATCAACTTGGATGTGAAAGTTTGAGAGAGCAGGAATTCAAGAAACACTTTGCCTGATACTACTAAAAATCCTCAGTTAGAGCATCCAGGGAGAATGACTACTTGGTAGCCATCTTCTGGGATCCAGATAGACATGTTCTGAGAAGAGAGGAGTACTTCACCCTATTGAAAGACACTGTAACATTGTACTCAGTACGGATTGTGTGCTCTGTCTTTTAGCCCTAGGACTTTAGATGTCAGCTACAAATGATCTGAGTGTGAGGGGAAAGCATAGCCCCAGAGCACACAAATAGTCTGGAAATAGTCTTGTGTGCATGAATCACATGTACTGGCTGTAAGGTCATGTTGGTAGTATTTCAGGGAAAGATATTTGTGAGGTGATTTTCATTATTGCCATAGCACTGCAGTTGCTTTTCCAACCAAAGCAGGTACTGTTATTTTTAGTCTGGAGACTTTTGAATGCTACATCTTGACCTGCATTCAGAATTACTTTGGCTTTTTTCTTACAGAGTGTAGCTCTGAGAGTGGCTTCTCTGTCTACTACAGATAGACAAGTGTTTTGTCTCAAAGTCAGTGTCTTGTATGTCAGCTCACTTAAGTTTTGATGTGTAGATTTTCTGTCTTTTTGAGAGAATAGTACAGAATGCATTATCAGATAAAAAGCCATCATAAGCAGCAGTCTTGAGTTGCTATGTTCCTCACACTGTTCCAGTCTGCAGAAATTTCAGTGCACAACATCAGGCACTACAATCTGATTAGTAATTGGTTTTGATCCTTCCGCTTTGCTCTTTTTAGCCACTAGAGATAACAAAACATGAAGGAAGAGGTCTTCTTAAATGCTTTACATTTCTTAGGATCTTTCATCAGAGGAGGAACAATGTGTTTGTAACCATTTTGTATTTGGCTAGCTGACCAGCCCAGCCACAGTCTTCATGAATAGTTGAGATTCAGCTTCTTTCACAGTTGTCTTTCAGTGAAAGAAACCCAAATTAACAATATCTGAGTGAAATGTAATATATGACTTGGTAACACATTATCACACAAGTGATAACTTCAGGATTGAACTGTGAGCACTCGCAGCTGTGTGATGGAGAGGCTGGCTGAAGCACTTAGGTGTAGCTGGGCCATGGCAGGATGTTTTGCAGTGTGCTTCACCAACTGCAGTTCTCTAAAGCCGCCTCTGGTTGTAACCTCATCTTTTGTACAGTGGAAACAGAGGAAGGAAAACATTCTTTGGAGGGAAGTTCTGGTGTGGTGACAGCTTCACCAGGAAGTTTAAGCAGAATGGGATAGCGGTCTGGCCTGGAGAGAAAAAGGAGAGGAAATGTCTTGTCTCTCCTGCTGTTCTCTACAAAATAAGAGCATTCTGTTTTCCCTTTCCTCTTATGATTCTTTAGCTTGTAGTTGACTTTACGCTGCTTCCTATGAAAACTTTTTATATTGCTTTTTCTATTGCTTTCTTGAAAACTTCTGTGGCTTTCTTTCTCCTTGACCTTTTGCCAGCCTCTCTGGGTTTCAAAGACATAAGCAGTAATCTGGACATTGAGTGTCTGCCTCACTGCATGCCTGGAATGATAATGGAGTCATAGGAAGATAGTGAGGTAGCTGGCTTTTACTAGCCATGGTACAACAAGAGCACAGTGATGTAAAAATGGAGCTAAACGTACGCACCTCTTTGTTAACTATTGAATCATAAGTATTAACAAGTGCTGACCTGTCCTGTACATCACAAAACAGCAACTTTCTGTTGAAGAGCAACTTGGAAGAGTAAGCTTTCATTATGGAAAAATAATCCATTGTTTTTGCAGGCGTTCATTATAAGTTAGCAAAATACCTCCACCAAGGACCAGTGGACTACATTAGAAATGAAAATACATCGGCCTCTTGCATGTGTACTTGCTAAAATGCCTAAATACACTAAATTAATCTTGCATTTAAGAAATAAAACCACATTATCTTTTTGATGAAAAGTCAATTGTATATATTATTCTCAGTTACAATGTGTCAAATCTGACATCCTAGCAGCAGGAAAACAGTACGTCTTTTATTCCTGCCTCCTTTAGTCAGGCTAGAGACAAATATGCTTTACCTTCAACATTTATTTCATAACTTATCTTACTGTTTATGTGATATGCCTTAGTAAACAAAATAAAGAGCAGTCTAGACATATGTGAATCAAAACTATGTTTTGATCTCACCAAAGTGGGAAAAAAATTTAAAAAATTATCAGTTCAGTATTACTTAGCAACAAAGCAAGATTCTGTCTTGATTCATTGAAGTAGAATTTTTTTTACAAAGCGTGTGCAGGATCAGATTCATAGGGACTCATGAAAGTTAATGCTATGCTTGCAGGTACACAAATGCTATGGGGAATGGGAAGTCATCGTTATGCATTACAGAGATAGCCGAGGTAGCTGCAAACATCAGAGAGTCTATAGCCCTGTTATTGGCATGCTCCACGCAAGGTCATTAGACCTGAACAGGAATAATTATCCCAGGCACAGCATTGGATTAATGGTTAGACTTCTTCTGGTACCTTCACAAATAGAACTGCAAACTCTGCAAAAATACACATTGTGAACCAAAGAGAATGTGTCACTGTGTGTAACACCTGCAGACTGTGCACATTTTGAGGTCATCATCTTTTGTGGCATAGCTGTTTCTCTCTCTGACTCCATCATGGGCTTTTGCAGCTGCCTTCCCCCTCCTCACTGGTTAAGGGTTCTGGGTTTTGTGCTTAGCCAGAATTAGCCTCTCCTTTCTGCCTACAAGAAAACAGGAAATTCTTGTTCAGGTGAAGGTGGAGTATGATCAAAGTAGGAAGGTGGGGGTTTCTTTTGCAGAGTTCTACCTATTGTCTTGTTGATTCAGTTTTCCAAAGAAGTAGGAACTCAATGCAAAGCTGTCACAGGTATAATGGGCAAAATTAAAATGTACTGACGTAAGAGAGCTTCACAAGGAGAAGACCATGAGTATAATACCAACAAAAAATAAGGAAAAATATGTAGGTTATTTTGTTTTAAATATTTGATTTCTTTTAGGCTAATATTTTCAAAAAACTTCAGTTTGTCAAATGCCATATTAAATTAAGGGGAGAGTACATATCAAAATAGTCTGCAAAAGTCCAACATTGAAAATGTGTTCTGTGTCCTGACTTTATCTTTTCATTTTCAGTCTAACAACTGCTAAGACTATGACTAAACATTTAAAATATATTTTAAAAAGTGATTTAGCCTGCTCTTGAGTGAATTGGACCATATTTTCCCGAAGTCCTCTGAACAGCCCTTGAAGCTCTTGCTTTATTTGCTAATCCGTATTTCCTGCATCCAACTCAGATATTGAATAGATTACATAACTACTTCAGACATTAAGTTTAGCTTAAGCTTTTTCTAATATACACAAAACCTTGAAGAAGTTAGATATTACTTGGAAATGTGTGTATACCTCTGTCAAGGTCTTCAAGGAACTGATTAATTTTGGAGGCCGTACCAGGCAAAGGCCTGAGTACAAGCCTCGTTGAAATGTTCTAGGGTATTGGCAATAGCATATGCCTTGCACAGTACTGCTGCCCCGCTAATTTCATTCTCCTTAAAGAAATTGTGGACATTTCATTTTGAATTTTAGGAGCGTCTTCTACTTTCTTTACTGCCTGCTCACATTGCCATGGAAATGAAAGCAGAGATCATTCAGAGGTTACAAGGTCCTAAGGCAGGCCAGCTGGAAAACACCAACAACTTCCACAATTTGTATGTTAAAAGGCACACCAATGTAAGGTATTGTACTGTAATAAAATGTATCAACAACATTCAGAAAAATTTTGAAAAGAAACTGTTAAGAGAGCAATTAGAAAATAATTGGTTTAATATGTTTTTGAACAATGTTTAATATCTGTTAATTTGATCAACTGCTAACAATTCTGTTAACTCTTCTTTTCAGAAGAGCAAAAAAGGTGATAATACAAAGGAGTTGTTTAGAAAAAGCCACACATTAACAGGTTTTCTTCATAATATCTTAATTCTTCAAGTTAAAGTACCAAATCCTGTTTTCATGTATACTAGTCAAAACTGTAATTCATGTCAGTTATATTATTCTCAACTTGTAATTTTCTTAACTGGAGCAATTTCTCAGGTTTTATATAAGGTAAATAGAGGCAGCTGTATCACATATGTATTTTACACAGTACCTGAGATAAAATATTCTGCTGACAAATATAATTGGTTATTAATTATAAATTTCTAGAGGTTAGAAAAATCATTCACCATGTATTTAAAATACTTTTTCATCTTTACAAGTTGTTTTGCCTGTTTATTTGATTGGACAAGTTAATTTGAATGACAGTCTTAGAAATTACATCTTTAAAGCAAGTTTCGCAGGACTTTTGAGGAAGTTAATTTTCATTTGCAAGCACAAATACTTTTTTCCTTAGACTGATTGTATGAACTGGTCAAGTTTTCATAGCATATGGCTTGAATATCTTAGCAATCAACCTTGAATTTAATAGTCCGAGTAACAAGTGAACAAAGATGTCCATGCTGCGTATCATTGACAAGTAAATCTAGACAGAAAATGTCTACAATGATAAAAAGTTATTAAACAATTTCTGATAACAAACATGTTTATTGAAATAATTGCCATTATTATATTGCCAATTTATGAGTAGGAATTTTTTTTTTTTAATATACTGTAACAAATATAGATATAGAATGCCTATAAATACCTAGAAATATAGGTATGCCTGTAAAGATAATACCTGTGATTGTAATACCTATAAAGGTAAAAATAAGTATATATTACATATAAATGTACCACCAAATGAGGGGTTTACCTATAAATATATTTATTGCTGTACATTTAGCAGTTGCCATTTTGCGTACGGGCATACCTCTGTGAAGTCCAGAATGCCTACTTTCAGGTTTTGCTGTTGACTGACAAATCCGAGTTCTGCAGGAGGAAACTGTGACCAAGTTTCTGTTCATTTCTATTGTAGCATCTTGTATGCCGATATCGTGGGATTCACTCGCCTGGCCAGTGACTGCTCGCCAGGGGAATTGGTGCACATGCTAAACGAGCTGTTTGGCAAGTTTGATCAGATTGCAAAGGTGGGTTTCTACTGGGCTGCTACAGTTAGTTTAAATAAGTAAGTCATCTTTAAAATATTTTTTCTTCTTAGGGACTCTTCTACTTTCAGACAGCATTTCTGAGGCTTTGGCAGGAAGATTAGACTTGAAATGCGTGAAGAAAAAATCTGGTTCCGGTCTGAGTGTAACTGTGTTTCTACCAGTATGACAATCTGTAAAACCCAAGATAGCTCTCTCTAATAGGACCAATAAAGACAGCTCATGGAGCCCTGTAAAGCTAAATGGAAAGTGAACAGCTCTTTAAATAGATTTTTTACAATAACAAGGATTAAGAAACTCAAGATAGAAAACTGATACAGTCAGTTTTCTGATCTCTGGAAAAGCATTTAAGAGACTGGAGAACAAGGGAGACAATATCGATCGAAGCAATTTTAATTATTGACCACAGCCTCTTGATTACTCAAGAAGAGATTCAAATATAATCAGAAGATTGTGTGCTTTTTATTTAGCTGTCATTTTTATAAAAATTACATCAAACCTCATGCTATGCGTGAAAGTGAAATCAGAAAGGCTAAAACAGATACAATTTTTTTGTGGTTTTTATTAGTTCAAAAACTATTGTCTAGTGTTGGTTAAAAAAAAATAATTAAATATTTGCATTGCCTTAGAGTACAAAAGATAAAAATAAGATTATGATAGTTTCAGGAACTATTGCATAGTGCATCTTCACAGATGTAAATGAGGAAGGTTAGGTCTTTTGATTTCATATTTCAAACAAAAAGACATGATACTTTGGCTTCATTCTTTAATCTGAGGTGTGAACAACACTGCAGATACATGTCTTGCAGTGAACTTACTTAGTTCCTGGTTTTGCCCATTAAGGACCATAACAGATGAAGGAATCATCTGTACAAAACCCTCTGACAGCACTTCTTTTTTAGCAAGCCAAATCCTTCTCTACTGAAACAAGCTTAAGTAGAATGATTTTGCTAATATCATTTAAGTCAGTCTTTGTAACAGTAACCTTTCATTTATGTAATTCAAGTTGAAAGTGACCTTTTTTCTCCAGGAAAATGAATGTATGAGAATTAAAATCCTAGGTGACTGCTATTACTGTGTTTCTGGACTACCTATATCACTTCAAAATCATGCCAAGAATTGTGTGAAAATGGGACTGGACATGTGTGAAGCCATTAAGTAAGTGCTGAACTTTTTGTTAAATATTCAACAATAAAAATTCTGTCTCTTTTCTATCTGTAGCTGTGCTGCTGGTTGAAACATTTAGACCTGCAGTAGTTGGCGTGTTTTACTACAAGGTCCAGCGTGGTAATCTTGATCTCAGCCTCACCAAAGATATGTTTTCAGATGTTGGGTTGTGCCAGGCTCTCTCATCACTACACCATAAAGATGATTAAGGACCTAGAGCATTGCTGATATGAGTAAAGGCTGAGATAGCTGGGGCTGTTCAACCTGGAGAAGAGAAAGCTGAGGGTGGAAAATCTCATCAACGCATTTAAGTACCTGAAGGGAGAGTGCAAAGAAGATGGAGCCAGGGTCTTTTTGGTGGTGCCCAGTGACAGGACAAGAGATGATGGGCACAAACTGAAACATGGGAGTTTCCCTCTGAACATCAGGAAACACTTTTTTCACTGTGAGGGTGACTGAACACTGGTTCAGGTTGCCGAGGGAGGTTCTGGAGTTTCCAGCCTTGGAGATACTCAAAGTTCAACTGGTACAGCCCTAAGCAACCTGCTCTGACTGGCCCTGTTTTGAGCAGCAGTTGAACTGCATGATCTCCAGAGGTCCCTTTTGACCTCAACTGTTCTGTGATTCTGTGATTATGAGATGGTAGATACCCCAATAGACATCACTTAGGACTTGGGAAGCTTTGCTTTTTGCAAAGTCATGATGCTGCCACCCACCTGTTAGTCAAACAGCTCTGTGAGAGGCCAGGGCTCCTGGCTCCTGATGAGTTTGGAGTTCCGTGGTGGTCAGGAGCAGTTGCCTCTCCACAATTAAGATGCTTCAAGCCCTGAGCCTTTGGAGTGATACTGACCATGTCTACCAAAGATATTTCTAACAGCTTACAGATTCCTAGGCTGTGAGGCCTACTTCCCATGTTGTTAAATAAGCAATAACATGTCCCTGTCTTACTAGACCTCAAGTTTAGGTTTAGTTTCAAATTTTCTGTAATTAATTTTTTTAGGTGAGGACTTTTTAGAAAGTTTTGTCAGTTAACACATTGAGAATCCTGTGCTTAGCCGCAACATTTTGGATTTGTGGGTTACTATATTTTTCCCATCTTTCCCATAATCATTGTGCTTATTCTGTCTTTGAAACAGAAAACAAAAAAAGGTATTTAAGAATCCTAATGATTGCTTTTTAAATAGCAGTTGTAACATACTTCAAGTAACTCAAGTAATAAAAGGAGGCTTGATGTGATTGTGAAAGAGGAAAAATAATTATGGTTGTATCTGATGGGTTAACACTTGTAAGGCATCTGAGGATACAACTAAAGGTGTACTTGAGGAATCCTCCATCTTATTACTGAAGACCAGATTGGGAATGGATTATAGGCACCTGTAGCAGTTCTGAAGACAATGGGACTTCACAGAAGTCTTGCAAAAGGGCAGCTTTATTCCCCCTCGTCTCTTCACCTGACTGCTATCTGAACTCTCAGTGCAGAGTAGAAATAACTCTTTTGTAAGCTACTTGCCCTAGATGAGTTCTGCCAACAAATCTGGACATATTTCAGTAGGAGGGTGCTTAAAGCTAGTTTGGATGTCTGCACATCATTCTGAAGGGTCTTAAACCTGCCTATCCAGAAACTTCAGCTCAATATTGTAGTTTATTTGTTAAGCAAGGGTCTGATTTTGTTAGCTTATTTAGAAAACATTTTGTGAGGAAAGGACAATTAAAAAACCTTCCACTTCTTTTTTTTAACCAAAGTCAGATAATTCATTGTCTTCATATTTGAAGTTATTTTTAGCTTTTAGGAGTTAAAATACTATAAATGGCACAAATACCTTTTCTGTAGGAAAGCTAAGTTTTCTTTGACTAAAATTACAGTATATCTAGGTGAGCTATACTTCGCAAAAATAAGTATCACATGGAGGTTTGGATATTTGGCAGTCACCTATGTGATTTGTTTTTTTAAACAACTGGAGTTTGTTCTTAAAACTTGGTATGCTCTTCTGTAAGTTTCAGTTCCAATTACAATTTTGATGCTTTTGCCCAAATCACATTTATAACTGTCCAGGCAGCAAAATAAGCAATTACCTCATCCTTGTGTGGTATACGTGTGGTGTACACCTCATCATGAAATGGATAGTTGTATTGAACAGTGTTGTCTCAGTGATTAACTAAACAGGCATATAAAAGTGAATCCTCTAATCCTTAAATACTATACTTATATGTGTATAATTGTAGTGACAAGGGGGTTTTGGCTTTCAGTTGCCCGGTATTGTGATTCAACCCAGGATAATTACTGTATCGGTAGGTCGATTAATGAACATTTGGTTCTTTTCCTTTTAAGGTATTCATGGAAAAGGTGTAGTATTTGTGGAAACTGGGATGTTTATCTCCTTGCTTTACAGATCTTTTATAAAACTAACCTCAGTACAGGAATCAGGTTGCTGCATTTTCTAAATTCTTTTCTTTATCCATATATGGTTCTACTTTACATTGTCTCCAAAGAAATCGATTTTTTTTAAAATGGTACTTGGAACACTTCTTCCTTGCCAAGCATTGAAATCTACACATTTGGTTGTTTCCTCACTTGCTTTCTCTGGATGCTTTCTCTTTTTCATTTAGATACACTAGAACATTATTATAATTAACCCAATTGCTTCTCTAGCATATTAGGAACTAAAGCTGACATCCCTTCAGTAGAGAAGTAGGTAAAAGAGTTTCTGTCTGTAAGTGCTGACTCCCCCTCTTTTTTGGGGATTGGCTTAAAAATCAGGCTGATGGAAAAACAATGCCAAGCTCAGGTCATAAATTGCCCTTCACAAAGAACTGAAAGTATGATTTTACACGTCATAATGCAATGCTTTACTTGAGCTCAGAGAGCAATCTGTCAGTTCCTCACACTTCAGAACTTCCCAGTTTTCTTTGAAATAACTTTCTGCTCAAGCTGCTATCAAGTATGTTCATTGTTAATGCTGGATGATAAGGTCCTCCTTGGTAAGAGCAGCCTTATAGAGTAGAAAATTATCTTTTAGTTGTATAGCACATTCTGATATGACTTTATTACTGTAGTCAGAATTCACAACACTCCTGTAGATAGACACCTGATTATGACAGCCTATTTACATCCCTGTAGGAAGTGAGGACTCTGTACCCCGTGTTTTGAAATGCTTTCAAAGTATTATTATTTCAAGTGTTGCAGCCTGTAGGTGAATAAAAAATACTGATTATTAATCAACTCCATATTTTGTTGTGTGATTCCTGCAGCGTTGTGTGGAAGCATCTCCTGAAATAGTGAAACTAGAAGTAGTAATACAGTAACACTGTTGGAAGTATGTCACTCAATATGTTTGACTCACTCTATCTAAAATATCTTTTTTGTCAGATATAAGTTTTTGTTATATTCAGTCACTGAGGTGCAAACTGACCCCTCAGTGCCTAAGTTACTGAAATAAAACAGTTTGCTGTTTAGATTAACAGTTCTATATAGATTTTATCACCTGAACATGATTTCAGTTCCAGTTCTCTTTGAAGCAAAAAGGAGGAATTCTACCAAATTGCCAGGTGATCTGTAGTACAAAACCTTATTCAGTCTTGTTTCCTAATGATGTGTATCTCCATTTTGAGCAATTCACCCTTACTACGCTAGAGATTGTTTCCATTGAAACATGTTTGTAGTCCCATTGATTAATTGCTTTGGTTCTCTGCTCTATGTTGGAACAAATCCAATCTTATAGTCTGCAGCCTGCTTGCCCAGGAGTGGGATGCTCACCTTATCAAGCCATAGATGCCAGTGCTGCCTGTGATGTTGAGAGCTGGCCACCTTGATTGGGTGCTTTAGGGCTAAAGCTTATCTGTTAAGGCAAAACATGTTTGTGTATGAATATATGTGCTGCTTTCCTTCAGCCCAAACTCCATCCCCTTGTCTGTCTGGTGGCTTCCCAATTTACATATTTCTCAGTCATAGATTCTCAAAGGCCGTCTTTGATTTGGTAGTGTGAAATTAGTTCCATTTCAGAGGAGAGTGAAAGAAACTGTTGGATGAGACGGTTGTACCAATTTGAAAGCTAGACCCAAGATAAAATAATTTTTTTTAGATATGATTTCATTCCTGCAGGAACTATGCTTTTAAAGCTGGCAATTTGCAGGGAACTAAGTGCTCAAGGCTCACTGAATGTCTTAAATTGCATAAGACAGGACTAGGTGAGTCTTTGATACATTAGTCCAGAATTGCCAATGAATAAAGCCCAGAAAAACAGAGTAAATGCTTTCCTAATGACCTGAGCTCTTGCTTGTGTGGAGTAAAGTTGCTACAACTACCTGCAAGCTAATCAAGCCTGTTAAAAACATAGAATCCTTACAAAGTCAAATTTCAGGCTGCAATAGGAAAAATACAGTCTTAATGAGTATTTTGACTGCCCACCCAGGATGATTACCCTGACTGTGGTGTGCTGAGGGAAACTGGAGAAACCGTGGGAGCAGAAAATGAAGTAATAGTGAGAAGTTTCAGATATACTTGTGTGGGTAAGGCAAGTGTCTGATGGGGATGTGATATGCTACATTCTTAGACACATTTAGTGTCAGTAGCGTCATAACAATTGTTCAGGGAGCACAGGACGGAAGAATTTGCAAAGCCTAATTTGGTCCAGAGTAACACTTCTAATTTAAAATCTTCTGTAGTTTCTTTAATTTTTGAGACAGAAGAGAAGATTCAGTTCTGGAACATATTATACTTGCTCCCCTCCTTAACTCCTGAGAGCTTATTATAAAGCAGATTTTATGGCTTGCTCTCCAGAATATGGCAGGGCAGCTTTTCGACAAGGAGTCTTAGAGGATAAATGTTCCTCTTCCACTTTGCCCAGTTTTGTAAAACACTTTTTGGTTTTTTTTTCCAAAGTGTTAAGCTTGTGTCATATTCTTTGTGCAGAACAAAGTGGTGGTTGTCATTTGCCGACTGCTTACAAAGATCGTTTACAAGCAGTTCATTTTCAAGTGTGTCAGCTACAGGAGAGCAGTGTAAAATGGCAAAGTGAAAAGAGATATCGATAAACACTTGATAGAGACTGAGGGAATTAAAAACTTCTCTCTTTAACAACTTCAAAACACAGTTTAACAAAATAGTTTAGGTCATGTTCCTGTTATTTTCATTTCCCAAAAAAGAACACTTGAGAACTACTGCTTACACATAAGATTTACCATATCAAATTAAGCCTGTTAAGTTCTATGTTCACTTTCAAAAAAAAGAAGAGAGACAAGCCAGTGTAATTCTGCGATTCAGAAAGTACAGAGCTGATGATTGTCATCATTGAGACTGAAGATGTTGCTAGAACTATGAACTTAACTCATATCTAGGAGACATTTGGGTTTCTTGTTCTATAGTTGTTGCTTCCACCAACGGCCCTGAACTTCCCCAAGATAAATGTATGTACGTGTTCCTTATTACTGGTTAGGTTTTGGTCCAAATGAGTTCGACCTTAAATACATAAATCCAGTTAAGTTCAGATCTTTCTATTTCTTAGGAATATATAAGCCCGTAGACATCTGAATTAATTTTATAACTCTTTACACATGTTGTTAGGTACCCATATGACATATGTCTGAAAATGTTGTGGTTGTTTGACTGTAGTCACCCACCTTTGATTCAGAAGAGACTTTTTTTGAAAGATTAATGCCTATCTTATGTGTAGGGCTCTTCTGAGATTTGGATTGGGGTGCACAGATACTTCAACTCTGTCTAAAGTCACTGGATAGGTCAAAGGTTTAGATGTGGTCTGGACACTGAGAGTGGCTTCTCATTCTTTGTATAATGATGACCTAGTGGGTACAGCATTCACCAAGCATGTGGAAGGCTATTGAGCTTATGTTCTCCTGAATGGCACTGAGCCCATATCCCCAAAAAGTGTATAAGCCACCAGCTTGTAGAATACCCTGAGGTGCTGTGTTTTCCCTCCTTTCTCTCAGAGCAGAACCATTTGCAAGCAGGCATGCAAGAGTGATGGGGCCTGACAGAAGCCAGATATGAGAAGGTTTCTAATGTAGATATTAGGGTCTTCAGACAGAAGGGTGCATAACAGGAGTTCCAGATCTCCAAAATATATTTGTTGGACTTGTTGCTGCATTAAAAGCCATACCAAAGGCTACCTGTAGAACAAAATTAGTCCCTATGTTCTACCATGAGACCAAACATTTTCACTACTTAGTTCAGCCCTCCCAAATAATTTCAAATAAGTATTAAAAAAGGGACTTCAGACATGGACTTGAGAATTAATGTTTACTGCAAATAGTTGCAAATATAGATAATAGTAAAGGTAATATATAAAAATAATTCTAGCATAAAAAGAATGGAGGCAATGCTAAAAGGAAATAAAAGTTATCACTGTTGTTACTGCTAATGTGACTGGTAAATTAAAAGAAAACAAAGGCCCTATTATTAACACAAATTTTCTTCTCAACTACAGGAAAGTGAGAGACGCAACTGGAGTTGATATTAATATGCGTGTAGGAGTGCACTCAGGGAATGTGCTTTGTGGTGTTATCGGGCTACAGAAGTGGCAATACGATGTGTGGTCACACGATGTTACTCTGGCAAATCACATGGAAGCTGGAGGAGTCCCAGGGTAAGAGGCTTCTCTGTTAACCTTTGGACACACGGATTTTTGTACCATGGAGAAATGCGTAGGTTCCATGTCTTCAGCCATCAGCCTTCATGGAGAAGCCTGAACTAATTTATGCTGTCTTTAAAAAAAAACAACTAGGCACTCAGTATTTCCTGTGATTTAAAGAATATTTTTTTGTGGATGGAAATCTTTAGATTTATGCCCATTGCAACTTCTAAAAATGAGATTAGAGGGTCTGTAAATGAAGTGAGCAGCATATAAAAAGTATATCCAAAAGCTAGTAAAAAAGGTTGATCAGGTTCAAATTATGCTTTTGATTGGTATTTGTGATTCTGTCATTCTTTTAAAATATAATTTCAGCCGCGTTCACATCACCTCAGTCACCTTGGCACATTTGAATGGAGCTTACAAAGTGGAAGATGGGGATGGAGATGTGAGGGACCCATATCTGAAAGAGCATAATGTTAAGACTTACTTTGTAATCAATCCTAAGGTTAGTAGTACTTTTATTTTGTGGCCAGTCATAGTTATTTTTTAGCAGGACCACTAATCTCTTTATTGAATAATTTGCTACCATAAGATATTGATCAGCACTATTACTGATGCCTACAAATACATAATGTTTGCATTGCAAATCTTTCCCGCTCTTCAGAAATAAGTCTCTGATATTTCCCAGCAATATCATTAAAAATTGCAGGTTCTTAGCATCTCTCCATTTTTAAGTTCCTAAGCATGCAGATATGTGGTACCAGATGATGCATTACTGCTTCAAAAGGTAATGAACACCAAGGCTAATATCACCTTTTATTCTCTGTCAACCAGGGAGAGAAGCGAAGCCCTCAGCACCACATTAGACCTCGGCATACTCATGATGGAGCCAAAATGAGAGCTTCTGTCCGCATGACCCGGTACCTGGAATCTTGGGGAGCAGCCAAGCCATTTGCACACTTGCACCACAGGGACAGCATGACCACTGAAAACGGCAAGATTAGCACAACAGTAGGGGCCTACTTATGTCATTTCATACAATTTAGCAATATTTGAAAGGAAAAAAGTGCTCACTGCTAAATACCTGGTTATTTCTGATAGAAGAAGACACGCACGTTTGTACAGGGCATAAACCTGGTGAAGTTGCTGGGAGCTTTTCCATTGGCACGTGAGCTTTGGATTAGACTCTGAGGAGCCATGTCTTGCTATAAGTGCATCTCTGAATTATAAGGAGTCCAATGTACCTTCTAAAATACACAATTTGACCCTCTGAGCTTGCACCCCAGTCACAGCATGTAGAATGGCTGCTGTTCACCTTGTGGAAAGACATTTTGAACATAAAGCCAGAGTGCAATACCTTTGGGAAGGAACACTTCTGATACAGACACATTCCCTGAGATTTATTGGCTATTTAGCCACATTCTCCAGTTGGAACGTGGCCAAACCTGGATCAAAGGCTGTGAAGTTAGAATATCCCTGTGGTACCTGGAGTGGACTTTATTAGAAGAGTTCTCTGGGAACCAAATCCATACTCACTGTAACATCTACTTTTTGAAGGTGCACTAACCACTCATCAGCTATGGCTGATGGCCTGAGTTTCACAGTGCTATAGTGCAATGTTACATCTCTTACACTGAACAGAAAAGATTTCTTTTTAATTTTACTAACACTCTTTTACTGCTGTCAGTAAGATGCTATCAGTCCACAGCTTGTACATTGCATTATCCTCTACTTCTAAAAAGTGCAAAGATCAAGGTAAATTCTAATAGTTTTCAACATTGGCATTCAGTTTTGTTCCTGTTACATACGAGAACATGGGATTGAGCCACCTAACCTATCTTGTTCAATAAATACAGAGCATCAGAATGTGGATTGTGACATGTTCATTACAGAAAGTACCCAGCCATCACTATTAATCACAAAATAAATGTGGCTGCGATGGCTGCTGTTGCTTATCAATAAAAAATAATGATCATTGCCTATATTTGGCCACTCAGGTCTATTTTTTTGAAAAAACACTTAACATCATTGGTTTTTACTGAAGCTGGCAGGAATTGGGCTTCATTAAAACAGTGGTGACTTTGAAGCAGTGACTTTCTAGTAAAGCAAAATGTTCTTGGATTCTCCTTGTTGTATTAGTTATTTAGCATTTATAATGATGGATCAGTTTGTCTCCAGGTCACTCCATCTTCACTCTTGGCTGGATTTTTCTTTTAGACAGTTTTAATCTAATGCTAAAAGTATTTGTATTGGAAACTTTTCTCCTTACTTGACCCTGTTTTGAACACTATTTCTAAAGCAACTTAATGTTGTCAAAGTCTATTATAGTTCATAGATATTTTCCATTGTTTTTTAGGATGTTCCCATGGGGCAATATAATTTTCAGCGTTGCAGAGAGAGGTAAATAAATTTTTAAAAATCACTTGTTCATATAAAGTCCAAATAAATACATACACATTCATATGCATTCATATGTACATAAAGCATGCTTTCAAATATTGAGGGCCATTTCTCACTCAAACTATTTTTTCACCTAATACCTCTTACATAAAGAAGGCCTATGAAACAGATTTGGCAGACATTTTACTTATGAATTGTGAATACACTTCCTGCTAACAAATAGCATTATTCTGAACTAGTATAAGTATGTTGATGGGCTACTATTTGTTTCTCCTAACAACCCAATTACTCTAGCAGTGGGGAAAAAATTACATGCCAGAAAATTGAGAGGAGGCATAGAGGGGTAAGAAAAGGGAAGATGGAAAGAGCTGTTGATAGTTTGTGTTACGACAGCTGATAATGTGTACTAAAAGAGATATTTTATATAGTTAATTGCTTTGTATTTCCATTGTGTTTTATTATTTCAAGGTGTGTAGTATGTTTGCAGTAGTTATTTTGTGGTCTTCCTGCAGTGCTCCTGCTACACAAAATGTTTGCAAAATCACAGTAGCTTTAAGTTTTCATTTTCCTGCTTAGTATTTCAATGACTAGGGCGAGATGGTGAGAAATGGAAAGGGGGTTGAACTGATCACTTCTTGAAAAACACCCAGAATTTGTAGATCAAGAACAGAATGACATCTGTTTAGAAACCAAGCACTGTCAGAAACCTGGAATAGTTAATTTTTGTTGTAATGATCTGATAACACTTCAGATTATGTATTTCTTTGCAAAATTATAACTAACATCACAAATACCATAAATTATGTGAAAGAACCCTTTAAAAATTTGTATCTTTATTGTCTTTGGTTATGCAAACAAGTCATTCTACCTCTTCCTTCGTCATCTCTCTGCTTGGTAAACGTCTCCTCAACAAATTGCAGGTTACTGGAGAGCTATGCAATTAACTAAAATATTGCTAAATTCCAGAAGATGAACAAGTTTTGTCTGAATATGCATGATATTAATAAAAACAGTCCCTGATTTTAAAACTGAGAATTTACATTTGGACAGTATGTCAAAAGGACTTCTATCAGCCTTACTGTAAAAATAAAGATCATTGGACTGTGGTATTTGCAAATAATGCAATTCTTTAAGATTCTGAGATGTTCTTGCTTTTGTGTTTCTAAATTCCATTCCAAAATAGATCCAAACGGTACAAATGTTACCATGTTTCTTGACACCATATTATGGAAGGAGTTTCTAGAAACCATTACTGAAGTCTAATGTCCATAGTGAGGCATATAACTAGGATTCTAGATAAGCCAGTTAGTCATTCCCACAGGAGAGAGTTGACATTATAATAAGCACTTTGAAAATCAGTATTTTATTAGAATATGAAAATGTGGGCTTTGAAGCCTGACTGTAGGCTTCTGTTTGTGGCAGTCTTAGCTCTTACCTAGTTACATGATAGTCTTATGTTGTTAGGGATCTGCCAAGAGGATTAATTGTGATTAGATAACGTCTCCTCACCTGTCTAGTTATTTCTTCTAGTCAGATTGTTTCATATGTGAAAAATAAGTTGTAAACACTTTTGTACCTAAATCCTATTGCATTGAATAGGCATGAAATCAGTTGGGTTGTTTAAAGTTACTGTGAGTATGCTAATATCATTTCTGTATCAATTTGAATCTTGCAACAGGTTATCAGTTTTGGGGAAATAACCCAAAAACTTGATGTTGAAGAAAATCTCTGTTACCTTTGACAGGGTTCAGTTTGTAGGTTAAGAAAATTTTGGTTAGCAGAGTCCAATTTCTGATCTGACTATTGACTTCTTACAAAACACTATTTTAAGTTAACATTGGATTTAAGTTTTCAAGAGGCATAATCTGGCAATATTTGAAATAGTCCATTTTAAGGAGAACACAGCTGCTGGAAGGTCTGATGATGTTTGCAGTAACATATGTTACCAAAGACAAACCCATTCTGATGATCCTCTGTTGGGTTCATGCTGAGTCCAGTGAAAAGAAAAGATCCTTTTTTTCATTGCAGTTGTGTTACACTTATAAATAGAGAAACACGACATATGTTTGAAAATAATTTCAGACTTGGTGCTCAGTTTTCTTATTAAAAATAATAAAATATTTCCAAGAAAAGAAGTGATAGCAGGCTTTTGGCAGAGAATACTTGTTATGCCTCAGTGCACTAGCACATTACTGCTCATCATGCAACTCTGACAAGGATTTTTTAAAATAACTACAGGAAACAGGAATGCTTTATGAATTTGAGCATTTTCCCATTCTCATTCTTTTTCATGAATTCATAACACTGTGGAAGACTTTCCTTCAACCACAATTTCTTGAACTCTCTTGGTTTGTTTTTTTACAAAGCGTTTTCTTGTGTTTGTTTTTTAAGTGCTCTCTAATCACTAACCTCTAGATTTGTGTGTGTCTGTGTCACACACTGTAGCTTATGCTGGTTTTGTTAAGAGTTTATTGTAAGACTCAGGGTGCCTGAAACCTATAGCTGCTATTGCAGCATAAATGTTAAAAAATTGATATTATCCTCACAAGTTTATGCCAGCTATCACCCCATTGCTTAAAGTTAATGTTTATTAACAATGTAATAATTTTCCAAAGTAACTTCCTTCATTTTTCATTTCAGAACAAAATCACAGAAAAGAAAGTTTGAGGAGGAACTGAATGAGAGGATGATCCAGGCCATTGACGGAATCAATGCTCAAAAGTATGTTTTTATTTTCTCTTGTCTACTTCCTTCAACTTTTACATAAATCTGCAACAGAGGGTGGTGTTTACTATTTCTCGCTCCCACATGCATGCCGAAGTCTGAAAACAGTAAAGGTGTCACTAATACTGGCATAGGAAGCTCTGCACATTGTGAAGATAGGCTGTACAGTAACATTTTCTACTATATGGGATACAACAGTGCCTGAGAATCATGGTGTGACAGAGGTTTTGGCTTGTCTTGATCTTCATAGCAAAGGGATTTTTGCTCTATAATTGTTCATATCTGTACACTCATAGCCGTAACTCTACAGAATTACCTCATCCGAGAGCAGAGAAGTAAGACACAAGAAATAGCTGGCTTGGGAATCAGAATGATGTGAAAATTGATGCTTCACAATTGTCATAGAAATATCTCCTCAGAATTAGAAACTTTCCCTAAAATCTTAGTTTAATATCTCTTTGTTTCAACTGGTTGGTTGATTTCTTAGAGAAGACTAAGCTTGATGATAGCACATTGAAATTGTTGGGGGAGGCAACGTGGCATGTATTTTTCCTGTGTACTAGGAAGAGCTGGAGGTGGTATTGATGTTCTTCATTTGCTGGTGAATAGATAAGACTGACAGAAAAATCAATATCAGTCCAAAATAAGTGTTCAGGTTTCTTATATTTATCTGATGAAATAAGGGAATTGCCCTTCAAAAATGTGGACAATAATTGTGATGAATTATATGTTTTCCCCCTACTGCTGTTACTCAGAATCTTAATCAGCTGAGTATTACACCTAATTATTAAATGCTCATATGCCATATTTGGGTTTTTTTGCATCTGATAGTTCTATTAAAAGGTACTTGGCTTTAAGAAAATATTTTTCAGTTATTATTTATAGAAAAGAGTATTGGTAGTTATAGGTCATACAAAGAATACAGTGAAAGAGGGTAGGTCATGTGATAGGCAAAGCCTTTTGATTATACTAGACTTGCCTAAAAGAGCAATATAAATTTTGGCAGCTTTTATGTGTCTTCAGGTACACTTGCTTTGATAAGTGGATTGTAAAATTGATGGTTTGATGTCGGAAGTAAAGCATCTGTATAAATGCATTAAAATAAAGTATTGGTATGATCATACTATATGTTGTTTTATCTGAGAGAATCTCTGTCTTATCTAATTAGTGCATAAAATTCAGAGAAACTTGGGGATAAAATACATTTGTGTGATAAAAAAGGTTTCTAAAAAAGTTTCAGTGCATTTTGTGAATTACATGGGCAATTGCAGAAAGATAAGGAATGATTTTATATATCGGAGAGGCTGAATGCCATCTTCCAAAACTAGATTCTCTACCTATCCTTGCATTGATTTGCTGAATGAATCACTTAAACGATATTATTCAATTGGGTACCTGAGAAAAAGTTGTCAAAAGTGCTAATTCCCCAAACAGCAAGTTAATTCAATAATATTTTAACTATGTGAATGCTAAGCACTTGGAAAAAATAGATGAAAGATTTCCTACATTTAGGAAACAAAATTAAGAACATTTTTGTTTTCTTTATAATTGTGCAGAGTTTTTGTACCTCACTTTTTCAGCTGTAAAATGAAAATAACACTCTCAACTAATCTAATGGAGTGGTTGTGAAGCTAAATCTTTTGCTTTTGTGAATCAAGAGGCAAACTTTTAAGAAAATCTATAAGAAAATTGGTATTTCTAAATGTTTTAACATGTGAAGTTTGGATTGTATAGCGAATAGGACTATGACTGAATGGAGAAAATTAAAAACCTCACATTATTGCACATAAAATCTAGTATTAAAATTACCATTCTTTTAACCTTTTTGATTCAAAAATTGCATTAAAATAATTCAAAAGCAAACATTCATTGTACAGAGCCATTGTTTCTTCTGCCCGGAGCTGTCAGCTTGTTTCATCCACATCACGGTGTCTTTCTGTGAAAAAGGTAACTGGTTGCAAGCAAATGGTCACAATGTGTGGGTCTTTGCACATTACATGCCCAGGTGTTTAACAGCCAGTAACCGGAAGATAAGGGAACGTAGAGTCTGGATCTTCTTAGGGCAAGACGAAGCTGTAGTCCAAATGAATCACTATTTTTACACAGTGTGAAATAGTGCGATACATACTGAAATGGTACCTCGCGTTTTTAAAGCAGTGTGGTATTTTCTCTGGGCCCCCTCACTCACTGCTCTGCTGCTGGTTCATAAGTTAGCTTAGCTATCTCTCCACAAAACTGCCACATGCCACATGTACACACTGTCAATAACTTGGGCTGTCTGGGTTTATTCAATTCCTTCTGGAATCCAAATGAAACTGTGGCATCTAAAAAGCAGCCTGGTGGCCTTGTAGCATGGTTCAGAGTAGTAGATTTAGTTGGCAATGCTCCTTGTAAAGTTGTATGAGGAAAGTTATGACCTGTTTTTTCATTATTATTCTGCTAGAGCACTACATTAAAAGATTTGTAATTGTAGTTTTAGAAGAGCGAGTGAGGAACGAAGAGCTTCTGTCTCTCAGCTTAGCACCTTAGCCAGTAGGGTGTAACATCATACTTTCTCCATGTGTTTCTTTTCCCCATACCTTGAACAAGGTATTCGTGTCTGCAAAGTGCCCGTCCTCCACAGGAGGGGGATGAGTAGTCCTAGCTATGCCACCCTGAAATTCGGTGGTTAGGGGACTTCTGTAGGATGTGTGAGGGATGGATAACAACCTGCTAGCTAAATATATACCTACAGAGGGAGCTAAACTAAAGTTATTTGCTCTTTGATAAGGAGGTTACTATATTACAGAGACACACTCTCTTTCCTCTCTTTTTCTTTAAGTCATGGTGGCTGCAGTGTTCTGTGCACAATTCCTTGCTGCACATTGTCAATCAGCACAAGCCCTGTCAAACCACACGCCTCTGTGGATACAGGCAGAATTCAGCCGTCTGTCTGAGTTGTTCCTTGAATTGCTAAAGAATTTAAAAAGAATATTGGTACCTAGCTTCCCAGGAGGTATATCCCCACGTATCTGCAGATACTTCAGTAACTTTTAGGCTCATTAGGGAGTCAAGCTGTAGGCAGAATTTTTCAGCCCTTATCTGTGTGCCAAAGGTATGTGACTTTGTGCTCCCTCTTCTGTACTTACTCTCCACTTCCATTTATCTGTGTTATACTGTTTCCCTCATCTCAGACCTCTCAGCACCTGCTACCTAAAACCAGTACAGTTTTTTTGAGCTTTAAAGTAGAACTAAAAGCTCCTGAAAATGTGAACTTGTAATGTGGATTATGAGGCAGCATTGCTCTAAATGGCACTACTGATTTCACATGCAATCAAGTGCATACTGACCAAATTAGGCCTCTGGGAGCAGATTGGCAGATAGAACTTTTTGGCAGTGTGGTAGTGGTAATTAAATCAGTCCACCGGTCAGATACCGTAAGAAAAAAAGGGAAATTAGTTAACAAAAGTGTTACTTTTTGTTCAATTTTTATAACTAAATGGAAAAAGACTTGCACTTAATTTTCACAATTTATCAAAAAAGTTCTGCAAACTGAATATTTTCTCCAGTAGATTACGGGTGGACCCCCAAAAATCATGCTAGATGTACAACAGCCTATCATATCTGTTTCTTTTCAGAATCATAACTTTGATCAGATGTAGATGCGAGCCATTGCAGAGCACACTTGGAAATATATTTTTGAATTAAGCACACCTGGAACTGAATGTTTTCAGCCCCTTTTTATAATGAAACTGATTGCACAGGAAGAGAGACAGTCTCCCAGGCAAGGAAAAAAATACTTTACATTTCATAAATCAAAGCTAATAGCTTACACTCCACTTTGTCCACTCCTGTTCTCATAGGACCTTAATTTAGGATATATTCCACTGTGGTTCATTGCTGTTACTTATTTGCATTACAGCCTGTCAGTTGAGACATTCCCTTTTATTTAGAAGGCATTAGCTACACTACTAGCTTAGAGCCTAATTTAAAGTTATTGCTGGAAAGGTTGCAAAAAAATCTCAAGCCCTGCTGTTATCGTTCAAACTCAAATATTGCATGTTTACAGAAGTAGTCTGCTTAAATATTTTTTTCAAGTTTATCTAGTCCCCTTGAGGTGCAAGCAACCTAACCCTCTTGGAATTTAAATATTCTATTTCTTTTCAAGTGTCCATTAAAATAATTTTAGACTTTCATATTAGAACATTTCATTTTGTAAAAGTGATGTCAAGCTTTTGTCAAGATTCACTTCTTTTAAAATAGATTTGTCATTTCAATGCAAGTACTTACTCTGGTTTGTATTTCTCATCTTTAAGCAGGAAAGATGTTTTTTATAATCAGTAAAAAGATCAAAATCTACCTCTAGAGTACAGGGTCATGCTTAAGAGACTAATACAGCTCAAAACCAAAATCACTCTACCTCTTTTCATAATGTTTTTTACATTTTTGTTTGGAATAGGAGTTCATAAAGTCTAATTTACCTGCCACTCTTGCATATTGTAACAGTGCACTTCTTAAAGGTACCTTGTGAAGGACTGTTTTTATTTCAAGTTCTTTTCTGCTCACTGAATATACTACAGTATTTTGGACATGAGTGCAATATCAGTGTCAGAATTACATCCTATAAATCTTTCCCTTGATTGTTCTTAGGAATGATCCACAGAAAAATGGTTCAGCTGATCTTTTGTTTCACGTGTATGTTAGCAATAGAAGTCAAAAGGGAGAGGAGATTTGTAGTTTCCGCTTTTACTGTCAGTGCAATTCACCATATACATTACAATACACAAGGACTTACTTTCTTCAGAGTGATTTTCTTATTTTACTGCATTTCAGTAATATAAAAAGACAGGTCTATTTTATTCTTATGTCAATAATAATGTTCCTTTTCTCTTCTAGGCAGTGGCTTAAATCTGAAGACATTCAAAGAATATCTCTTCTTTTCTACAATAAGACTCTGGAAAAAGAAGTAAGTTATTTTCACTGCAAATTCACAGTTGATTCCTTCAAGTGAGGCTTGTATCCCTTGCTTTTGTAACACAGTGCCATGGCCCTGCAGGAGAAGTGCTCAAACCTTACAATAGTATTTTAGCTCATTTATGGAAGAAATTTTATGAATGTGAAGTCTGAGACTGCTTTCCTGTTCACTTGAATTTCTTGACATTTTCATGGTCTTGCAGAAGTGGGAGGAGGTTTGATAATCCCAATTTGATCTAACTGGAGCAAATAATTCCTAAGTTCCATCACCTACATCCTCAAAAGGCATTTATCAAACTCCACTGTTTCTTGGTTTTTTTTTTTTTTTCTTTTGCCATGTCTCAAAGGCTCCACCTGTAGTAATGACAGTCTCGTAATGATATCAGTTGCTCATTAGTTTTCTCCATATGCACTTGATGCTCACAGTCATTACAGGGAAACAGTACTATAAGGTTTTTTTTAAGAAAAAATGCCTATCTGTCTTGGATGCAACACACTAAATGTTCTTCTAACGTGTGATAAAACATGTTTGTGACATGTATGTACAGATGGAATAAATGATATTGTTTCTAGTCCTTGGAGTAATTATCAGAATAAAAGATTCCTCCCTTTTAGGTGACTGTCATGACCACTAGCCTAGAAAGTCAGGCCTCTGTGTTTTATGGCCTTGGAGGGCTTGAGTACATGCTGACACAGCTTCAGCAGTAAGACTGGAGAGTTGCCTCTTTCTGCTTTCTGATAAGCATAGGGCAGCTAATAGCTGAACAGTTATGCTGTCCTTCAGGGAAGTAAGAGGTGAGTTTGACCACAACTGGCTGTATAAATGAGTGAACCTGATGAGAGTGGGGTAGAGGAAGTTTTACCATACTGTGTTCACCCTGTACAGCATAGGTGCAAGTATCCTCTGGGTCCCATGTGGTGGTCAAATACATATTTAATTATTCTTGTAGGTGTCTTTCAGTTCAAAGCAGCTGAAACCAGATTCTCTCACAGCTCAGCAGAATAGTGTTCTTACAGCCAGCTGCCAAAGGCGTGTGCTGTATGCCCTTGGCAATGCATTAAGGTGAAAAACATTTCAAGGCTTGTTACGGCTGTTTAGAAGATGGCATAAGAGAGAAGAAGCTAGACCTGGTGTGGTCTCATCCACAGTGTTTAAAGGTGCACTGAGTGGATCAAAGGTGTGCCTAGGAGCACATGCAGATTTTAACGTGGGTGGTACTAACTGATAAATTCTGAAAGAGAGCTTGAGAGAAAACCATCATATGTGCACTTTGGACAGTCAGGGAATCAGGACTTGGGAGAAAATCAGGGAGCTAAGTTATTCGGCTGTGTAGATGTTCCCTGTAGGAGTCTAATCTCTTTTAGACTAGAATGCTGTGGAACTGCAAAGGACTAATTATTCTTTTTGGATCCAGATTTTTAATATCTTTCGTCACTACCTTTTAATGACTCACCAATCCAGTCTTGACTTTAAAGAACTCAGTAAGAAGCCTGCTTTTGATTTAAACAGGAGCTTTTCAGGTCCTGCAGGACCTGAAAGTACAGCTAGGTAATAAAGCAAAATAATTATTTAACCTAAGGAGTTGCCTGACTTCATTGGGAAATGTCTGGAGAGGTGTGAAACACTGAAATGAATTTATAAGTGGGTTGGAATTTTTTGAAACTTGAACAACAGCTCAAGGTCCAAAATTGTTGGACAACACCATCAAGAAAGAACAAACATATTCAACAAATGGAAGAACAAAACTTGCTGTAAACATACCCATCAAGCAAAGTCATATTTGTGCCTTGATATTCAGTTAGGCATGTGATAAGAATTGCTTTTAATTTCTCATACAATTCAAAAGTGAAAAAAAGCTGTTGGGTTGCTAAACTCGATTTCTACATGTTCATGTAAAGTTTGGTGCACCAGTTTGGAGGGCAGAACTTGACACTTAGCACAGAGACACAGCTGTGTGCTTGCAGTTAGAAAGCACAGCTCATGCACTTCCCATTTTATGAAGTTTGCATTTGGAGCAATTTGTGCAAATAATCTTTGGTACATTTTCTTTTAGTAATCAAATCTTAAATTCTTACCCTTTGAAAAAAACTTCGATAGAAAAAGTAACTTTAATAGGCCCAATACTTAGGTCATTTCCCTTTGAGTACTTAATTGGTTTCAATCTAGACATATCTATCTCAAACAGCAGAACAACTCTGATAAATATTTCATTGCTTAATTCTTATGTCTCTAGGCAGGCTAATTAGAGATTCATAAATAGATTTTTTTCAGGACAGAACAGATCAAATTGACTCTCTCCTAAGAATATCAAGTGTTTAGTAGTATCAGGGAACATATGAGGCCACAGACATAAAGTATTTTAACTGAAGTAATAATATAGCCCCAGTAAATATCAGTATGATTGCTAGCTATGCTGCAACGTTTATAGACATCTGTAGCACAGTTTACTTTGATGCTTTGTGTGTTCAGAAGTTTGCTGTCTAAATGACTGTTACTTTTTTTCTAACTGTTTAAGCCCATTCAGTATTTATTAATAATTGAAAATCAGTTTGGGGAATTAATGACAAAGAAACTTGGAATTGGCTAAGAGTGGTTGTCCATTCCTAAAAATATTTTTAAAAATGCTTTCAATTTTTTTTTTTAATTAAACTGTTTATGATGGATTTGAGATAGTCTATTCTGTGGAGGAACAAGAGAAAACCATTTGACATGGCTACTTAAGTTGTTCTTCAAGAAGTAAAAGGATTCAATACTATGCCTGATAATCCCTAGCCTATGTGAGTGGATGTGGAAGTCATTGAACAATAGGAAGTTTACTGTTGCTAAAGACTGCCTATACATATCTGCATCTTTAAGCTGAAATTTCAGTTGGGTGATGTTTTATCTGCTTTGGAGATTGTGTTTTTAACATTTGCTTTCTTTTTTTTTTTTTCTTCTAGTATCGAGCAACTACTCTGCCTGCATTTAAGTATTATGTGACTTGTGCCTGTCTGATATTCTTCTGCATTTTTGTTGTGCAGATTCTGGTATTGCCAAAGTAAGTAGTATTTAACGTGTACTCACTCCTGTGTATATTTGCTGTTTAATGTAAAAAAAATAAAAATGTATTAGTAAAAAATTTTGGAATTGTCAGATTACAGAGGTGCATTCATGGAAATGAAATTGAACAGAGAAGATTGAGGATTTCAGCCCATTTTCAGTTGTGCTTGTTTCTAATTTTAAACGCTGTCAATAGTATGGGGCGAAGTGTTAGTATCAATTCTTCATTCATTTTTGGTTTTCTCTTTGCATTTAAAAAGGTCCGGTGATGACAGGAATGAGATTCATATGTGTAAAAAAAAGGAATACAAGCTTGTTTGAGCAACTAAAATTACATGTAAAGTAAGTGTGACAATTGGACACTGAAGTGGAACAAAATGGATTGCAGAATTGGGACTGTGATTAAATAAAAGCATTTAACATATTACTGTGATAATAATGCTCTATTCAGCATGCAAACACAGCATTACTATTCATAAAATGTCTCCTTTAAAAAATAATTTTAAAATAAGATATCAATTATATAAATTGCTGGAATAGTTATTTTTATCAGAATTTATATGTTATGAGTTAGTTAATTTTTATTTGTTCATATATATCAGCTATCTTTCTATCTGTGCATATTCTAGAAAGGCTGAGAAAATTTGAAAACAGTTCCAACAAACAATATTTTATTAGATTTCTTAAAATAGAATTTTGGTGTTGATTGTTTACATAGTGGAAAGTTGATATTTGTTTTATAGCAATTGTTTTCAAAGCCAACGCTGTATATTCCCTTTGATACTGTATTTCTTCACTCATAGTCTTTTCTCCTGTGCAGCGCTTTCAGAAGTAGTAGTTCTAACCTCAGCTGATTGATTGGTCTTGTGCTGTAGTTCTTAAATTTTAATTCAAAGCCAGAAGGAACTGTTAGGTCATTATAAATTGACTTTCCATACTTCAGACTTGTTTTATAACATGTATAAAGTTTTATGGACTTCTATTCAGATGTTATAGCATTTTCTTTGCAAAGGATTTCCCAGTTAGTTTCTAACACAGAGACACAAGCTGCAAAAGGACACTCTTCCAGAAATTCAGCAGTATCCTGTACATAGTTCAATCTGACTTTAGGCATTACTATGGCGAAATATGAAATTAAGACTCATTACTAATTGTATTTGTCATTTTGCATAATAAGTATATTTTACAGGCTCATACTGTGTTTTGATTAGTACAGGAATTAGTTCAGGGAAATTTGTGGTTTGTGATATACCAAAAACCAAACTTGGATCTAACTATTCCCTTCCAGCAGTATGATTTATGAATCTGTTTTTATGTTTTGATTTCAGTTATGAAAATGAATCTAGATTTATCACCTATCATACATGTAGTAAGAAAGATGCTCATTTTGCTATATCCTTATTGTGTCTCTTAAACCAATTGTGTAGCCCATTAAAATATATCCGATACTTGAAACTAGTGAACTCTAGGGAGCTGTATTCAACTAAGGAAAATGTCCTCCAACTTGTAAAAGCATATGCTTATATTACACGATCTCTTTCTAACTTCAGACCAAAAGATACATATGATTTATCATTTTCATTACCAAAATGTAAATTATCTTTTCATCCTTTTATAGGGCTACATATTAAATTGTAAAAGCAAGAGTGTAAAATCAGGTATTTCCAACATGAATGGTATTCAGCTTCAAGGGGTCTGGTCTGTGGATTAATTTAAGAGATGCAAAAATGGAAGACAGAAAGGCAAGGTATTATACAGGCATCTTCATCTTTGCTGGAAAACTGGGAGCATTGCAAATTTAAAAAAAAAAAAAAAGTGGAAAAATCACCAGTGTATGTAGTTATCACAAATGTAGCTTAAATTGAACATACTCCAGTTTGCAAATGTTATTTCCTTCCAGCAATAAATAAATAAACAAATAAATAAAAAATAAATCATAGTTTAGTCTAAAATTCTATATAGCCTTTTTGTTTTCTGTCAAAAGTTCTACAGGATTTTTAAATCGTGATCTAATGAAGACAGGGAGATAAACTACATCTGTCATTGGGTTTTATTGATTCACTACTCCATTAATCTGGTTTTGCAGCAGTGTAATGTCATTGATTTCTGTGCAGGCACACCACCTGCTGCTTTAAAGTAGATTTGGAGATATCTGATGGTGAGTAACATCCAGCAAGTTGCAAGTAATATGAAATATCTCCAAGATCACAAGACATATATTTCAAGGCTGAAATAATTTATTAATGTTTCAATTCCCCCAGGGTCAATAAACTGATGTGGTGTTTTCATAATAAACTTTACACAAAGTGGTAAATATAAATTTAATCAAGTAAACAATATCTTGAGGTGAAATGTATCATGAGGAGTGGGTCTTTATTGTGACATGAAAATGACAGCAAATCTCGATCATTACATTTCCTCGGAACAGGCTTCAGTGGGTCTCTAGCATTCTTGGTTTACCAAGTGACAGAAGTATCTCCAGTAATACGTTCCAGAACCCTACGCTCTTTATTTACGGAAACAGTCAACTAAAGTTGAATTGGTAGTGTTGTTTTTTGAAATGCAAACTAATGAATTGGTGAAAGTATATTCCTATTGAACAGGAGTTACTTCCTGTGCTATTCGAGTAAGGGATTTGTTTGGAGCTACATTTAAGATTCTTCTGAAGTCTTTGCTTTCTGAGGCTGCTATGTTCAAGAAATTGTGTCCTTTTGTCCTGAATCATTACAAACTAACAATCATCTTGTTCTACCCATGGAAGGTGGTTAGGAGACCCTAAGATAGGATTTCTAGTAAGGCACAGCTGAATTTCTTCATAGAAATGGTAGTACTTAAAAACATTGTCTGAAAGCAGGCATGTAAAATATAAGACAGTATAAATGAAAGAAACCCACCATTTTTCTGCTATATCTGATTTTAAAAAAAACCCCTCAAGTTGAGTTATAATACTCAAATGATTTTTCTTAACACTGAAACTGCCATAGAGTTAGTCTACATAGCCACTGAATCCATCAATGGTTTAGTGAAAGCATCAATTGAATTAAGAAATAGCTACTATTTGATACCAAAAAAGTCTGAATTCAGTATTGCCTTGTATAATTGTCATTTGTAATTGCTTCATTATGATTTGATCACCTCAAGAGTATTTGCAATCCAATAGTTCAGAACATGAATGTTAATTACCTGGCAAGCTAAGGAAAGTCTCTGTGTCCCATTAAGGGACATGTGCCATAAGTCACATATTTTCCTAAAAGTTACAAAAGAAATGTAGAAAGAATACATTCTTCTCTCCATTTTTCAGTACCTTTATCTTCATAATATTTTTTTTATTTTTTCAGTTGAAATGTTACCAACAAGACCTAAGTATGTATAATTACAATTTTTTTCCAATCTCATACCACCTGATAAAAATAATTTATTCAAAACATATATTTACTGACGAAACCAGAAAAATATGAGAAGAATACCCAAGATAATAAATTATTTAGACTTAGAACTATCTGAAGCATGGGAAGTTCTCATATTGTTTCCTCAATTTTAAACTCTGTCCCTCTGTAGGTTATTGTCAAGGGTTGTGCTGTCAGGGTTCCTGGTGGGGCACCATAGCAGAGAGCAGACCTTTCAGAAATGAGGGCATTCCTTGAAGCATAGGAAGAGACAGGTAAAAAGTTAGCTGGCTTATGGGATTCCGGGTGCTCTTTTGACAAAGTGGTTTGCCCAAATCTGTCAGCGCAATGCATTTGGTGACTTCTGCAATGCACTTGATGACTCTACACAACAAAGGTGAGATTAGTTTACTGTAAATACCTGTACTTTTTTTGTAATGTTCCAGTGACAAAAAATAAATGTATGTTATGGCTTTCCTATGGTCGTTGCCTCAAATGAGGTTTGTTTATGGTGACACTTAATTTTTAGTATCTTGCTTTCCATTATAACATTTTCAGCCCACTTCTTTCCTTCTGGGAGCAGCATGAAACTATTTCGGCTTAGCCTAACTGAAATAGAAGTCCATCTGTTCCCAGAAAAAAAGGGGGGGGTGGGGAGCAAAAATCTCACAACTTTTTTTCTCTGTATTCAGCACTCAAATCTGGATTCTAAGATACCGCTTCTCTTTTCCTCAGTCCTTTTCTCTTTATCCTAATAATCAGAATCTTGTTCGCCTTGCTATGTAATTCTTTTTCTTGTGCCACCTAAATAACATCATTGATCATGTAAAACATCTACAAAGACCTTTTGTTCTTGCCTGTTACTGGCGTGATTAAGTACTCTTCGCATAAGCTCTCCTTATGCCCCGTGAATTTTATTTCCCTTGCTCTCTAGTTTCTCTCACAAACATCTTCATTTCTTCTTCCGCAAGGATGCACTCCAAACTTGACTCATAAGGCTATTCATGTATTGAATCAGGCGTGCAGGCTCTTTTTTTGTATCCTTCTTATCAAAGAAAGAATAACAATAGTTTGAAATGCAGGAATGGTTACTTGAATCTTACTGAAGGACATGTATGATTGGAAGTCTTTATGCATATATAAAAAATAAGCCTGTGTTAATCACATTCCTTTGCTTTCATCTCTTCTGTTGCTACTAGATTTTAAATTCCTAATAGTAGAGATTGTAGTTTTACATATTCTGATGTACAGCTTACTGTCTCAGTCTCGATGAGAAATTCTTGGAGAACATGTATTCATAAGCAATAATGATTTTCAAATAACTTCTAAAAGAAGCATTATTTCAAGATTATGTTGTGAATTTTTCAGTTATTTGTTTTTCATCAGCTGTTCACATCAACCCAAAATCTGATTAATACTTTGCATATAAGAGGTTTTCTGAATGATTGGCAGGGAAGCTCATAAATTACTCTCCAAAATGCTTTTAATGGCTGCAATATGACATCAAATTGGTTTGTGAAGTTAATGCTTTTTTGTTCTTTCCTGAAAATAGCTTCTATAACACTGTTGTTAAAACAGATCAAAATGTTTTCCAATATTTGTATGTATCTAAGGAAATTGATCCATAGAGTTCTACTCCTAAATTCGTAGTATTATAGTTTGTAAAAAGTATATATTTAAATTCACATGGCATATCTAAAGATCAGAGATGCGTGCTTTTATTAATAATGTATTTTCATTCTGAATCTTATATTTATGGAAGAGGTAACGTAAAATGTAACATTTATTACAGTTTTGTGGAAAAAGCAAGGGATATAAAATTTACTGCTAAAACGTCATGCCAATATTTCTATCATATAAGGCTTGATAAAATAAGATATTTGCTGTTGCTCAAAGGAGTCAAGAAGTATTTTTTTATTCTGTAAAAATGCCAAATCTGTGGTTAAAACTGAAAGCAGATGCTCAGGTGAGGGACTACATGATGGCACCTAGTTGCATTGCTTAAACCACTCAGTTGGTCCAGAGCTTCTGATCTCCTCTTGGCATTCATTAAACATAATTGGGTCCCACTGCAATCTTTCCCTCGGCAGCCATGCTGAGTAGCTCTCATATGGTGCCTGATGGAGCAATTATGCTCTAGTGTGGTATTCATATAGAGAGATTTCCACATTTGCAGAATGAATGCATGCCCGGATTGTTTCTGCATTCCTATTTCTGTTTACTGAGTAACCAGTGATGCTATTTTGGCTAGACTTTCCTATTTATAACACACAAGAAAAGGATAAGCTAGAACACTGAGTAAAGATGATTTCAGGAAGAGATTACTCAATTTTTTTTCATTTAAAGCCTGCAGTGTTGTCTTTTCTTCATGGTGTTTAGGGTTCCTTTCTATCCTGTCCTCCAATACTTCAGAATCTACTGGCCAGCCAGTCAAATTTGATACAAAATAGAGTTTTCAGAGGTGTCGAATCCCTATCCATTCATGAAATAGCAGTTGCTATATTGGGGCCCTTGCTGATTGAGAGACTGCATCATCACAGATAGCACAGGTTCTAGCTGCGAGACACTGAAAACTTAACATCATTGTCCCATGCTGTTGCTTTTCCTACCTTTTGGGGGGAAATGCGCACTGCCAACAAGTTTATTTTGTATAGCTATTAGGTTCTTAAAATATTATAAAGTCAACAGCATAAAAATAAAGCAATAAGGATCTTCTTTACAGACTTTCTAAAGTAAAAACAAAACAAAACATTGCTGTTGTTAATGCACTCTGTCATTTAAATTATTTGTGTGGAAAGTATTATCTTCTTATGGTAATAGTTTTGCAAAGACAGAGGTAAAGCCAATTCAAGCCTTCATAAGTTGGGAGAAAAAAGGCCTCTCATTCTGGTAAGAACTGAAATTGTTTTTCCATGGTGTTGATGTTTGGAAGTTGCAGCTTGCACATGGTAATTTTTCATATCATCAGTATAATAGACAAAGAAAGGTCATGCTATAAGTGTGTAAGAGATAAATTAATACGTTTTCCTTTTCTTGTAGAACATCTATCCTTGGAATTTCATTTGGGGCTGCGTTTCTCTTGCTTTCCTTCATTTTGTTTATCTGCTTTGCTGGACAGCTTTTGGTAAGTATTCAAGGAAATGTAATCCAGTAGTTAATGGTTTCTTTTAAATAACATGTTCTGATTTTGCCAAGTCACTGTGCCTTTGCAGAGTACCAGGTAAATGAGAAAGGCTTGCACACTTAGGCTTCTGAGAACATTGTTTTGTCCATGTTAACGTACTGTAAAATGCCCTAAATTATCTGAAAAAAAGAAAATGCCAGTGCAGTGACTGTCTGTACTTACACTGATATTCTCTTTCCCCAGTGTGAAGCTGGATCCTCTGAGAGGTTTGCATTGTTGTTTGATTGATTGTCTTTTCAAAATTTTTTGCTATTGTGCTTACAGGAGGTGACTCATGAGTCCTTTTGTTTAAGTATAAGATCATTTTCTGAGTTTAGAGAATATTTCACGATAACAGTTTAATTTGATATATAAAAATTTGATAGTAAAATTCTAATTTTGTCATTGAGTGGTCCAGGTGTTATTGTAATGCCTATTAGTCTATCCAATAATATGCTGAATTTGAGAATTTAATTTAATTCAAGATTTGGGCAAACCTTTCAGTATTTCACAATATAATTTACAAGTACTATTGTCCCCCTTTCAGTTTTTCTCAAATACAGCAAACATATAACTACATCCAGAACAGGGTATTTCAGGATTTGTAAGAAGTTGAATGCAATTTGAATTTGGCATATAATCTGGAATAAAACTATCTGTATAATTGTCGGTTAATCCCTACTTCTCCTTCTTATCTTTACATCTTTCCACAAACTCCCATGAAGAAAACTAAGAGAAAGATCTTTTATAAAAAAGCAAAACATGCACATGGGAAAGGCAATTACACCACTGTGCAGTAAAACAGTAAGGAAAGGTGGCCTAGCAGTTAAAGCAAGAAGCAGAGGAAGTGGGATTTTATAATTTCTGCCTCTTCTCTTGTGAGCCTTGTAATGAACCAGGACATGTTTTTAAGAAAATGTAATTAATGTACATTTCAGTTGTCTTTCCAGTAAAGTAGGGATGCTGCCACTGCTCAGGAATTAATCTGAGATATGATGCAAGAGTATTTTTAAATATTTTAGATCCTTGGAGTGAGGTCCTAGAAGTATTGCTATTACTTAACAGCAAAAATAAGTTCTCATATAATGTCATACTTGGTTGCCATTTGTTATTGACGTAAGAGTAAAATGATGGAGTCACAGTACTGCTGTTGAATAAGCAAATTAAAAAATAAATAAAAAATCCTTCAAGGAAAAGCCAGCCTTTTTCTTGTAGGAAAAAGAGGTGCCAATGAAATAGTATCAAGAAGCGTTGGGACATACATTTTCCTGGGGCTTTATTTATAGAGTAGCTTAGGAGGAATGCAAACGTATTTTTCTGCATTTAAAGGGATGGCTAAGCAACTATCCCAAGTCAGAGTTGAGGAGTCATGCCACTTGAATAATATCTAACACCTACTTGCAATGCTGTTTTTCCTATGTCTTGTATGTACTGTAAATAATTCCCAGAAATGGAGACCTATTACTGCATTTCTGTTGATTTGTGAGATGTCATATTCTAACCTAACTAGCTTGAAGAGGAACTATTTATGTCTATGTCTTTATAAGTTCAGCTGCTCTAATGCAGAAGCTGCACTGCTAAGAAGCTTTTCAGCAAGTAAGTTATGACCATAGTTGATGCAGCACTGTCTTTCCTCCACGAGCATGGATGTAGCTCTGTAAGGTGATGGATGAGAGGCAGCTAACAAAAGAGGCAGCAAGTTTATCTTTCCCCTGGCCTCTCCCTAAGATTTCTTCCTTCATGTCAAAACACAAGAATTGTTTTGCAGCTTTAACCACAGTGACACCCTATGTTATATTTCGGTAGCTAATCCATTGCAGTATCTGACCCATAACTGTAAATGCTTTCTTTCTGAAAGAAAAAGCCTGAAATTCTCAAGCAAACAAGTATCAATATCTGAGTTTTAACACTACAGTGTCAGTGTTAACAGAAATCAAATTTTATTGTCCTAATCCTGATGGCATTTGGATTTGGGGTGGTTTTTTGCCAGTGTGGGTTTTTCCCCACCTCTCTTACTAAAGGGGTACATTTTGGACTCCCTTGCAGAACGCATGTAGTAAATGTGGATGTGCTTGTGTGTACACACACCTACATGTAATTACAGAGTTTAAAATCACCAAATATCTCTCTTCTAAAAATGCACAAAAAAAGAAGAGAATTTTTTGGGCCTGACTGACCCTGACAGATGAACTGTGGTGGGTTAGCCTTGGCTAACACCCACCCAGCTGCTCACTCACTCTACCTCCTCAGTGGGATGGGGGGAGGAAAATAGGATGAGAAAGCTTGTGGGTTGAGATAAAGGCAGGGAGATCACTTACCAACTACTGTCATAGGCAAAGCAGACTCAACTTGTGGAAAATTAATGTAATTTATTGGTAATTAAAATATTTTTGGAGAGTAAGAAACAAAAACAAATATTAAAGCCACACCATTCCTCCCTTGTCTTCCAAACTCAGCTTCACTCTTGCGCTCCGGACTCCTCTACCTCCCCCCAGGCAGCAGAAGAGGAGGTGGAGGGTGGTCAGTACATAAACATTTTTCTGTGCTGCTCTTCCCTTCACACTTTTGCCCTGCTCCAGCATGGGGTCTCCACAGGCTGCAGTTCCTTCAGGAATATCCACCTGCTCCAGCATGGGCCCTCCATGGGCTGCAGTGTGGTCATCTGCTCCAGCATGGACTATGTCCTCCTCCTCCTCCTCCTCCTCCTCCTGCAGCCTTGGTGTTCCCTCTGCTGTTTCTCACTCTTTTGGTCCCTCCTCCTCTCTCTGCCCATCATTTTATGTCCTTTCTTACCTGGGCTTTCCCTGAGGTGCGCGCCCGTGGCTGAGGGGCTCAGCTGTGCTCTGCGGCAGCACTACAGTGCGGTCCAACTCAATCTGTTGTGGAGTGAAAATGTCAGCCGTTAAGTAAGAATACGAATGTTTCCATCAAAGGATGCGGCAGAATAGTAGTGCAAATAACAAGGTGAGAGACGCAGAGCCTGCCTTTGCGGCCTGTAGGCCCCTGCCGGTCTTGGGCAAGCAGGCTGAGGGCAGGGAGGGCTCACGCTTCTCATAGAAACATTTGTTAGCCCATAGGCATTAAACCTTCATCAATCCTAGCTGAAATTGGCATCTGTCCTGAAACATGAAACGGATTTGTATCATCTTTTACATTCTAATTACTTCTTTGTTCCTAGGCTTTTTTTTTTTTTTTTTACATTTTTAGATAATCATAGTATTCAGAGTTAAATATCAAGATTATGAGTATTTTGGTCTTAAAGATCCTTTTTGGCTTATATTTTCATATTTTAAGTGTTGGCTATTCTTTTTTATTAATTTTGAAAATTTTCTTTCAATTTTTCTTGAGAGGTTTCCTTCCCAAATTACATGCAAATAGATATTGTCCTTTAGCTCACATATTTCCTGTGTCTCTTTTCTTTATCTTCTTGAAGTATAAATGAGTTCATAGAGTGAGTGTGAAATGCCTCAGACCTGGTAACTGTTAGGTGTGTTTTACCTCCTGATGTGCATGCCAGGGAGCAGCGGTCTGGTTACCTAAATGATACATTGGAAAATGTAATGCAATCAATAGAAAAAAACCCACAGTAAGCACGTAAAGGAAAGATCTTTGTGGTAGCTGAGGTAGCAGGCTGAAGAATTATTAGCAGATGTTCTTTGTATACTGACTCAAATATTGTCTCAAAAATTTCTTTGCATTACCTGGGACATATGTGCACTTAATTGATACCACATAATCTTTGTGCCAGTTACTTTCCATTAATATGAAATTACTTTTTGTTGCATATGTTTATACCTTGCAAACCTATTTAGCTACTTCAGCTAACAAGGAAGACTAGAAATAAAAACATTTCTTTCCTATCATCTCATCTGAACATGTTTATAGTCTCTCTTAAATACCCAATTGAACCATAGAATTAGCAGAACACAATACCAACAAAACAAATATGAGAAAATAATTGGCTCCACAGCTAAGAAAAATGCTCTGATTTGAGGTCACCAGAGCATCTAACAAAGTGCAGCAAGTATGTGAGCAGTCCTGTCCCTGCTAGAAGATAGCATGTTGGTTATTAGTTGCATTACACCACACCACTGTATAAAAAGTGAAACACAATCTACCTTTGTTTGCAGGGATTTGTATTTTACTCTAAAGCAATTGGCATTGGTACTTAACAGTCAGAAAGACTCTTCCCCCAAGCCCCTTATATGCTGAGCATGATGTCATATGGTATGGGATATCCTTTTGGTCAGTTGGGGTCAGCTGTCCAGCTGTCCCAGCAGTGTTCCCTCCCAGCTCCTTGTGCACCCCCAGCCTCCTTGCTCGTGGGGTGGTGTGAGAAGCAGAAAAGGCCTTGGCTCTGTGTAAGCGCTGCTCAGCAGTAACAAAAACATCTCTGTATAACAAAAACATCTCTATATTATCAACACTGTTCTCAGCACAAATCCAGAACATATTAGCCCCATATTAGCTACTACGAAGAAAATTAATTCTATATCTCAGCTGAAACCGGGACAACACTCCAGATGATAGTAAAAGCTCTGCAGGGACAGGAATATCAGCACCAGCACTATTTGGAAATTATTTCTGACACGGAATGTTACCTCTGATGTGAATGGCTCTCTTAATGCAGATTGAAGGCCTTCAGTTTCTTCAATGGTAAGACTTTGTTTGTAAATTAAGATTAAAACAGGGATGCAGGAAGGCAGGCACCTACATCAGAGTTCATGAAAGAGGCTCATCAAACCTAAAGTCATTCTGTTCAGTCTCTAGCACGGGCACTGCAAATGGCAAATTCATCATTACTAAGTTTGGTACTATGTTCAGACTTCAGGAACTGTTAGAAAGGTACTCATTTCAGTAACAAAAATCCTTCTTCATACTCATTCTTGAGTTATATGTCTATGAGATGTTATGTGATTGTGACCAGCTGAAGAAGGTGCCTAACCTGGTGAAAACCACAA